TGGTCGGGTGGTGGTGGTCGGACGTCGGGGGGTCAAGGCAGATGCAGTAATAAGAACAGAAACAGCAACGACAATAACGACAGCAACGACAACAACAACAACAACAACAGCAACAACAACAACAATAATAATAATAATAATAAAAGTAATGACTACAGTGTTAACAGCAGCAGTAACAACTACAACAACAATTTGAACGATGACGACAATGATGACGACGACAACAACAACAACAACAACAACAATAACAACAACAACAATAACAACAACTAAAATAACAGTGGCAAACACAGTGACAACAACAACAACAACAGCACCAATAACAACAGCAACAACAACAACAACAACAACAACAACGACAACTAGCAGGTTGTGTGAGAACGTTTGATTATGTTTGAGTGTTTGTGTGTGTGTATGTGTGTGTGTGTGTGTGTGTGTGTGTGTGTGTGTATGTGTCAGGGCTGATGCTTCACAGGATTGTGTTCGTGTCCGAAAAGTCACAGTCAGGGTCGTCAGTTTGGAGCTAAATCCCAGAAATTTGGCTCTTTTGGATCACGTCTGGCGCGGAGAATTTCATTTGGCTCTCTGGCTCTTTTTTTTGGCTCCAAACTCCAAATGTTCAAGAAGAAGGGGAAAGAAAAGGTAAGAAAAAAAGAAAAAGAAAGAATAAAAAAGAAACAAAAATTGAAATTGAAGAAAAGAGCTTGGATTGCGTTTAACTCAAAAGTATTAAACTAGTTAAACTAGTTAACACGATTAACGCCCTCACCCATTAGGTCTGAATAACTTATAACCTCTCGACCATAATTAATTGTGTGCAGGCAGAGAGGTCTGCCATCATTAAGTGAGTAAACAATGAAAGGTCCGGCTAGCGGCTGGCCCCACATCCTGCGCAGTAGCATCGGTAGTGAGACATATTTTTTTACTGAAGAGGCGAAAAATGTTTTTACATTATAAAATTATTATTCTATTTGTTGTTCAAGAAAACGACAGCAAGAGTATAGATGCCAAGCCATACAGCAGCCGACTAGCTCTGCCAGCGTCATCAGGCGATGTCTGCGAACTGCCACCAACACCACAGTCTATTCCTAGACAATATGTAATCGCTTTCATGACATCAACCTTCGTGCGCGTCGTCGAGTCAGAAAACCTAAGCTGACCCAGAACCAGCAAGCCAGTCGTCAAATCTGGTGCACTTCGCAATCCTATTGAACAGTTGTGGGCTAAGCTTGGTCAGAGAGATCAGGAGAACCACCTTTTTCCCCGCCAACCAAGAGCAGCTGCTTGGATGGCTGCAACAAGAATGGAACAACAATCCCCAGGCCTTTCTGGCACATCTGATGAACTCTATCGCCAGCGATGCCTTCACTGTCTTGCCGTGAATGGTGGGCACATGCGCTTCTGACGATTCCAACTATTGCATTTTAAAAAATACAGATCTACACCACTGTCAATGTCTGGGGGGAGGTGAGAATAGCCAGTTAAGAGCTATTCTCACCAAAGGGTGAATATATGTGTGCTTTGTAATTATTGTGATCCAGTGGTAGTTTAGATTTAACACATAGAGACATGACATGAATCATTGATCTAGTTGTAAGGTTAGCCTAGATCTAGATCTAAATGAAGATTGCGGATGTCTTTTCGATGAAAACGATTGTTTTTCCTCCGTTTTTGGAGTTGGAGGAATCACAATTTGAAGATTTAAGAACAATGTCATCATTTCAATCGAGCACTCTCTCTCTCTCTCTCTCCTCTGTCTCTGCGTATCGCTCGCATTCTCTTTTTCTTTGTTTGTCTCTGTCTTTCTTTCTCCTCACCTATTTCCCACTCTATCTTTCTCTCGTTCCCTCCTGTCAACTGGGGCATGTCATATAATACATTTTGCTAGCACTTCCCCCCTGCTCTCTCTCTATCTCTCTCACACACACACACACACTCATACATACACACACACGCACGCGCACTGCCGGGTCTGGGCGCTGAAGCTTTCCAACATCACAAAACAGTTCCCCTACCGGGTCTGTATACTTTGTGACTTTGTTCCCGGTTACCGGGTCTGTATACACTTCGAAACTAAAATCCTTCATGTAAAAAAAATAATCCCCCAATGCCCCCCCACCCCGTCCACACTTTACACACACACACATGCGCACACACTCACTCACACACACGCACACTCACTCACACACACACGCATGCTCACTCACACACACACATTCACACACACACACAGGCCACTACATTCGCAATTAATTATTATCAGATCCTGAGAACGGAAACCATTCGGAGAAAGAGAGTAAGTTTATTTTTCCGAGCGTTCGGAGAAATAGAGACGGATTTTTATAAAAGGCTTTCTTGCAAGGGCTCTCTCTCTCTCTAGACTCTTCTTGATCTATATCTAGATCTAGATCTAGAATCTAGAATCTTGTTATTGACAGTCGATTGTAGTGGCTTTAAATTTTAAATTCGAATTTGGGAAGATTGAAGAATACCGGACCACTCGTACATTATTGCGTGAGAAAGTGGGGTAGGTGGGGCGGGTGGTTGGTTGGGGTGGAGGTGGGGGGAG